CTCCTCCTCCCTCCTCTTCCTCCCTCCTATTCATCCCTCCTCTTCCTCCTCCTCCCTCCTCCCTCCTCCTCTTCCTCTCTCTTATTCTCTGGTATGGTCAGAAGGTTTATTTTACAGTGTTTCTGTGTGGGACCCTGAAGGCAGCGTCTCTCCGGTCCAATGGGATCTCTCTGTGTGATTTCGGATTATGTCAGAAAATAATGTCTGTGTCGAACAAACGTTTATGATTCTTACACGTTTAGTTCAGCGGGATAATCTAGGTAGCTCTAAAGGTAATGTTGTATTCTTTCTCTCCCTCAGCATATCTAACTTCACCCCTAAAGTGGGAGAGAAAGACACGCAGAGGGCGATCCGACAAGCCTTCAACGTCTGGCAGACGGTCACCCCGCTCTCCTTCCAGGTGCAGTAGAAGAAGTAGAAACTACTTGTGTAGAAATGTAGAAATGTCACTGCTACTTTTTGTCATATGGACTTTCAGTCTCTTATTTCTACTGTAAACAGGAAATACCTTTATTCAAGATTGAATCCAGACAATTCAAGGCGAAACGGAACAAAACTTCCGATTTACGAATAACAAAACATCCACCAAAGACTCTCAGACAAAGTTAAAACAGAGCGAACATAAAGAAGACGTTCCTGCTGGAGCTCCGGCGTTTCTCACTTCCTTCAAAACAAAACAAGGCTTTGAACTTCAGTAGAGATTAAGGTGTAGAAATAAACAATAGTGTAATTTAAACATCTCAAAATAGAACATATATATTAGATAACCGTGAAGATATAAAAGTCTAGGTGCAACTAACAAGGCCAGGACAATCGAAAGAGGCGGGAGACAGGAAGTAAAAACAGAGGCTCCAGCGTTTCTCACTTCCTCTTCCTGTTTCAGGAGGTGCCGTACTCGGAGATCAAGAACGACGGGAAGGAGGCGGACATCATGATCTTCTTCGCCTCCGGTTTCCACGGCGACAGCTCTCCATTTGACGGAGAGGGGGGTTTCCTCGCCCACGCCTACTTCCCCGGCGCAGGCATCGGGGGGGACACACACTTCGACTCTGATGAACCCTGGACGCTGGGCAACGCCAACCACGACGGTGAGACCACAAGAAGCCGACATTAAAGGGGCCCTATTCTGCTTTTTGGGGGTTTCCTTTTTCCTGTTGTATAGGTTTTAGTGCATGTCAATGGTCTCCAACGGCTAAAATCCCTGTGTTCCCTCCATAAGGAGTTTCTCTGCTACAAACTCCCCGAAAACACGAACTCTCGTTTCTCCTAAAAAGGCCCTATTCTGCTTTTTAGGGGTTTCCCTTCCCTGTAGCTTGTTCTAAAGGTTTTAGTGCATGTCAAGGGTCTGCAAAGGTTAGAATCCAAGTGTTTCTCTCCCACACCCCCCTCTCTCCTTGAACCACCTCCATTGGACTCCTTTGTTTACTTCGGGAACACAGTAACATCACCATGCGCTCCTATTGGCTAACGCTCCAACGCATTGTCCGTGATAGGCTTAGGGGCGGGACATCTCTAATCGGTTGACCAATCACAACAGAGCCATATTTAATTGATGTCTTGTTTCCTAATTTGCTAGTCAGTAGGGCGGCAACAACCCCCTGTGGTATCAATCCTGGGCGTAGGAGTTATTATAAGATAAGATAAGATAAGAGGTACTTTATTGATCCCAAATTGGGGAATGTTTGAGTTGCAGAAGCAAGAAAACAAAACAACGTTGGTAGAAATTAAGGAGTACACAGTCAAATCCGGAGTGTTCATTTAACACTTAAAGAATACATTTTAACACTGAGCCACTGAACATATGGTCCTTATCTACATAGTGTTAAATTAACACTCTGGATTTTACTGTGTAGAAATAAACAATACTAGAATTGAAACATCTCAAAATAGAATTAAAGCAGCATTAAAAAGAAGAAGATATACTGTAGGCCGTGAAGATCAAACATCTATAAACTCTGACAGTTAAACACTATCGAGTCAAAGTCAACTTTAAAGTGTGTTTGTACAGACAGAGGGATCGAGTATGGATAACATATGTATATCCAGAGGTGCACATAACTCTTTTGCCCTGGTTCGCAAAGGAGCACCTGGAGATGTTGCTTGGTGCGCATCCTT